CCGAAAAGCTGGAACCTAATCTAATAGCAATAAAAAGAAATATTGATATTGCTATTACAAATTAATTGTTGACATTTTAGAAGTAGTAGTAGTAGTAGTAGTAGGAGGAGGAGGAGGAGGAGGAGGAGGAGTAAGTAGTAGTAGTAGCAGCAACAATAGTAGTAGGGGTAGGGGTAGGGTTAGTGCTGGTAGAGGTAGTGGTAGTGGTGGTAGTAATAGTAGGTGTAGCAGTACGTATTAGTAAGTCGAAAGTAGTAAGTAGTACTACGTAACTAGTAAGTAGTAAGTAGAAGTGGAAGGATAAGGAGAATGAAGACGCAGCAACTGCAGCAGTAGCAACAGCTGCAGCAACTCTTTGTTGCTTTGTTGTTGATGTTGCGATGTTGCCACTGTTGTTTGCCGTAGCGGAGTGGTCACACTCGCGATGAGCATCATGCAGATTATCGTGGTGATTACCATGACCGCTCATGATCATGCTCGTGGTTGTGACAAGCAAGAGCAGAAGGAGAAGAGGGATGACGTCCATGCAAGCGACAGACAAAACGCACATGCGTCGATGTCATGATGTGGCCATGAGCTTGCCCATCCTCTCAGTTTGCTATGGCGTCTACTGACTCACCTAAGGACTGCGGATTCACTGCTCAAGCATCATATCCCAGACGGTCCTAGACAATGCCCAAGGTTTCTTCAAAACCCCAAACCGTGCCAAGACCTTCGTCCCGAATCCGAACACGATGCTTCTTTAGTTTCGAGTCGACGGGTTGCTCTTGCTCCCACTCGAAACCCTTCAGGCAAGCTGCGAGACTATCACGGCCCGATCTTCTGGAATTATGGCATGCTTCCACAGACCTGGGAGGTCGGGCTCGGGTTGTGTTCAGGATTCAAGCTTAAGGGTGGGCTTTCGGGTCGTGGATTAAGGCTCGGCGGCGTAAAGTTACCGCGGCCGTCCGATAATTCATGGTGACAGTAATATCGTTCCATAGTCGTTCCCTGCTGGACATTCTACTATATTATACTATATCATTGTCATGCCCAAACCCCGGTTCCAAAAGTTTTAGGCCTTTTAGCAAACCTTCATCGTTTTCATATTTCGTAGTGGCAGGATCCTTCTAGGACGGCTTGCGTTGAGGAGTCTCAAACAGGACCGAGGACCCCCAGTTGGAGGGCGAAACTCAGTGTTTTGGTCTGAGTGCCGCTATGGAGCCTTTGCAGAGCCCTTAGGACCTTAGGACTTGTCCTGGTGCCGAATGAATCACCTTCCTGGATGTCTGTGGACGGCTCCGGGTCGGCGGTAGCAATCAGTCGAAACCATTGCTGTGTGATTATGATATCCTTGAAGGGACTGAAAGAGCGTGCCCAGTGAGGATGACAAGAACCTCGAAACGAAAAGGCCCTAAACCAAGCATATGATTACGGTACAAATGACCCACGTGGAACAATCTAATTAGCACGGAATGTCACTCGCTCTCATTGTCGCTTTCTCACGAAATTGCTCAAGTCATCCACATCCTCAAATCCCAGAGTAGCAGCGCTGCCAAGGACCCTAATGTCATCACCCACAAGGAAACCAATTGCGCCGGCGACAACGCTACAGCCCCAGAGCCTGCAGTTTCACAGCTTCATGAATGAAGCCGGCAAGGAATTGGGGACTTGGGGGGGGTGTTGAGGGTCATAGAGTGACTGCTGAAACCATTGATGTGGTGTTGTTTGTGAGAACTTGCTCTCGATGGAACAGCTGACACTAATTACCAGCATGTCAGTCCAAACAGGGTAGGATCTGTTGGATTTCGGAAATGGCAGTGTGGTCGCAGAGGGAACCATGTGGCGACAGCAGCCGTCATGTCTCCAACGACAGGAACAGATATAGCAGGGACGGCGAAGACCCCACAAACACTACTTGGACGACTGCCAGAACCACCAGCACTGCCGCCACTACCCTCCCGTCCCCGACCTCACCATCACCACCACTACTACTGCTGACTGCCACCTCGATTGCTACTAACAGCAAAAGGAGAAGCCTGCGACCTGTACCTTTAAACTCTAAGCGCCGAACCCTAATCTTCACAAGCCTGATGCCGGGAATCTCCAGGATCCCGTGGATATCGTGGAAATCGGCTCTGAGGTGTGCATGCAAGCCTGTGGGTTTGCATTTTAGGGACTTGGGGTGGCTGTGTTTGGTGTGTGATTTTCGGCTTCAGGGAGTACTGTTGGTTTGGGATGGTTCAGGACTGGTTCCTTCGAAACTGATGTCGTTTCTCTGTCGAAGATGAATGCAACAGCAGTTGGCACCCGACTGCTGCTTTCTTGCCAGTTGTGCCCTGCCCAAGAATCACCGTCGGGTGCAGCCGGGCTACGGTTGAGGGTTTCCCCTAGAGTCCCTAGAGACCAGCAAGAGTCAGAGTCGAAGGAAGCCACGATCCGAACCAAAGAGGACCTTCAAGCGAAGTTGGAGCGCCAGGTTCTCTGAATTGAAACAGAATCCATGTCCCGAGCCCCCAACCTACACCTGCTGCCAGGCCCTAGCACAGGGCTCCGTGGAGAAAGTCAAGGTGCGAAAGAGAGCAGAGACTGAAGCTTCAGACTGCTTCAACAGACACGCAGAGCTGATGCGCAGGTTACAATCCCAAGCAAACTAGTTGCGATTCCGGCTCCAACTCCCTTGGTCCTGCTCGGAACCCTGGTAAAACTGGCAAATGCCGGGCATGCAAAGCTAAGCCTTGTCAATGATAACGCTGCCCAGCTCTGAGAAGAGACCTAGCCGCCTAGCCCAGGATGTGACGGAGTTTAGGATTCTCGGGTTTAAGATGCTAGGTTCTTGAGAAGTGCACCAGCAGCTATGTCTCACGCTGAAACCCAAGGCCCTAAACCCCGCCAGGTGCTAGGAGCCTTGGCCATGATCGATGATGGAGAGCTGGATTGGCCACGGCCCCGGTAGGCCTAGTTGGCTTTTTTGGATTTCGGGCCTCTGGACGGCAACTTGCGGTGCCTAGGGTTTGCAGGGAAGGACACGGACGAGTGAGCGCAGGGTTACAGAGACCTCAGCAATGGTACTAGCAAAAAGCCCCCTGAGTGCGGTCGTCATGATTGCACCCCTTTCTGGCTCTCCTCTCTCGCTCGCTCGCTCTGTATGCTTGTGTCTGCAGGGGTACAGTGTACGATTATTTATTCCTTTTCATCTTCGGCAATTTATGTATCATACAAGCATTGCTAGTAGCAGTCGTTTGTTGTGTTTTTGTTTCGACTTCGGTAACCCTCAACCCTGCCAACGCTGGTCTTCCACCTGGCTGCTTGCAAGTGAACGGTGGAGCCGCAGACCCTACAACTCACGGTCGGTGCTTTAAGGTTTGAAGTCCAGGTGCGGATTTAGGAACCTCGATGGTTCATATTCATGTTAATATTCATATATATATATATAGATATATAGATATAGACGCTTTCTGTATATATATACACACACATACATATACATGCCTGTCCCACAATCGCTGCATAGGTATTGTAGGAAGTTTCAGTAGCTAGCGAGACCATGTCCTTGTAAACATCTCACCACCAAAGCATACTCAGTCGTTGTGCGACTTGTCCGACTTTTTCCGTTGTGTTCATCCCTATGGCCCTATGTAAAATAGCCCAAGAAAGCTTAACCCCAAAGCCCGCGCTAAAAGCCCTACCCGTCCCAGGAAGATCATCGGCATCCGCGCAGCGGGGATGCTCGGACACGCTCACGAAGTGTCTTTGAGGGGTTGAACTAGTCGGGCCGGGAGCTTTCCGTCCAGGGTTCCATGAGAAGGATGTTGCTTAATAAACCGGGTGAGAAGGGGCAAATCCAACATGACACATGAATGGTGTCATTCCTCTCTTTCAGCTTCGATTTGCATCATGATAAAGATGAAACTCCCTGCCTTGTCTTGCAGTGCCTGAAAATCACTTTCGCCCGAGCCCCAAGCTCCAAGGCGGATAGTTTGGCAGCAGAGCTGAACGACATCGCCGATGTAGAGGCACTAGGGTTGTTGGTCCTAGCATGCCTTCATCCAGCGACGGTCAGGCGCGCCAGAGCGCTTTCTGACATTGCTATGCAGTCACGCTTTACGGAGGCATGCCTTCTCTAGAATGGGCCTTTGTTGGCCAAAGGCGTGCTGGTACAGTAGCTATTTTCCGACACGCAGAGGCCAGCGTTCATGTTCGTTGCACCTCCAGGGCAGCCCGCAGACACATCGACACCGACAAAAGGATCCTTTCATGTGGTTCGTGCGCAGGCAAAATGTCCGGGGGTCATCAGCGGCATTCGCGAGTGGCTGCTGGCCTCAGCTTGCATTTCTCGCCGCGCTGTAAGTGCACGGGCTTGCTGTTGGCATCGCTCCGCGATGGAGGTCGGCCGCATGCATATTTTTCCTGGCCGAGGTTCCGCTGGTACAAGACCCCAGATGGCAAGCCCCTGAACGCCTTCGGCTATGAGGACACGACGGGGGCGGACCTTGTGCAGAGACCGCAGCCTGTTTAACATGCCGGGCCTGATTCTGCACGCGCGCAGCTTGTAATTACTTGAAAACGGAACATGACCCTTCTTCGTCTGCCATTTGTTGAAAACATGCCTAAAGGCGTTTATTCATGCTTCATTGTCATAGTGCATGCCAGTGCGCCAGCCAGGAAAAGGCGCTGGACAAGAAGTTCGCCCTTGAGGCCCCCATCGAGCACTCGCAAACACCACCAGGGCTAGCAATTGCCGAAAGCACGGCCCTAGATCCGAAATTTGGGATCTCTGGTAAGGCTATACTTTGCATGGACTTCGCGCTGTTCTGTGGCAGAGCACTTCCGAACCTCCTTCAGATGTCGGCTTACGAAGCAGGCTATAGGGGTTTCATGTTTTTTGATGGGTAAGATTTTCGGGTTCCATTATAGTCTTCCTTGTGGTGACCATGTCGGTCGACTGACCCCTGGCATTGTGGGAAGTACACCTGCCCTGCTGAGCCCTTCTGTCTCGAAATCCGCGAACCTCTACCGGGGGTCGTTTGTCACTGCCGCTAGCACCCCTGTAAAACCCGGTGACTTGTATTCTAACGTGGGTCCTGAGGTCCTGTTGGTAGGAAAGTAGATGCCTCAGCCTAGAAGGGAGCTTTCCCTCAGATTCCCACTCGCCCGAAAGGTCACCGAAACCTTGGGAGGGTCGCCTTGGGGGCAGGTCATTGAGGAGACCCACGACGCATGGAAGAAGCTGAGAGAGGGAAGCACCGACAAGGGCAAGCTTTGGGTCGGCAAGTAAGAGAGTGAAGCTTTGCCCTCCAGGGCCCCTCAGAAACTCAAGAGTGCCAACAGCCCAGAAGCCGGTGACAGCGATGGTTCAGATAATCCGCAATATATAACTTATCGACACGAGTATAGTATAGTAAATGAGAACTGAATGAATAAGGCAGGAAGCGTCGAGAATTTCCAGTGTCGCGCTTTTCAGGTTCGAAGAGGTACGAGTATGAGGCAAGGGCAGGCCTTCGGTGTAGCATGAAGGCAAAGGCTGTGCGGTGTGCCGTAGCATTCAGGGTGTCGGTGCAGGTTAAAACTACTTCTGGGTTAGCCGTCAGGCTGCAACATGCCACGCCGCCCAAAACTGCTAGTGCTCCTAAGCGGCGATCAAAGCGAGAACGCTGCTGCCGAGGGAGGTCTGCAACAGCCTCCCTCGGCCCAATCCTTCAAAGTTTTGTTTTAGCCACAGACCTGGCTGGTGGGGTGCGGGCGACGCACCCTGGCAGATTCTCCCACCTCCAGTCGCAGCAAGAGGCTTCCTGGCGCAATGTCTCAGGCTGGCAGGATCCACGAGAACACATGACAATTACGTACGATTCAGTAACGTTTGTGGGGCTTGGCTTTCATGCTTCAGGTCGAGGAATCCTGAATGGAAGATCTAGGTTTTACCGCGAGATCCTTGCATCTCCATGTTGTGCATGACGAAACCCTTCCGAACGCCGGAAGATCGATCAGCGATTGCGATGGAAACCCTCTCAGAACACGTGTTTTTTTACAACCATTACGAGTCCATTTGTTTAGCGCCATTGCGCCAGGAAGGCCCTCTTTGAAGCGGCTTGTCCGTAAGGGCGCTGCAAGCGGGAAAAAAGCACGGTCTGAAGGGGGTCTTGCAGTACCTGAGAAGACTCAGGCACGCGAAGGCTATGCTTTGCTCACACGATTCAACGAGCTCTGCAAGACGAGTGCGGGTGCTTTACCTTCGCATAGCTTGCTTCGCCTTCAGCGCCTCCAAGAATTCATCATGAGAACCCACGACCTGTTTGCCGCGGTCTTCGAAGTCTTTGGTAGACGAAGGGTGTCCACAACAGCGACCAGACGCGTAACCCTCAACATCTATCCGCCACGAACAGATCCACAGGGCATGTTTTCAGATTCAGGTGCTCAAGAAATTAGGTTGCAGGCGCTTCACAGGGCCTCCGGACCTGCAGTCAGGCTTCGAGGTTCGGCCCAAATGGGGATGTCCCGGGGAAACATACAATGCAAGGATGCAGGACTTGCAAAGAATAGCCAAGCACTTCTTCTGAGGGGTGACCCCCATGAGACCCTGGTGTGCACCTAGGGCTGAGCAGGGGCATCGCAGTCGAGTCCGCAGCAAGTTGCTTAAACCGATTAAACTCGGTGTCCGAGTCTCTGAGAGCAGATTAAGCAGCCGGAGGGTCAAGCGGTTGCTGAACTTTTCCTGAGCAAAGCCTGCACCCTCAAACCCCCGAGCCCTAGCCAAGCGAAGAGTTAGCTCCGAGCCCTGTAGCCCCATTCCGGAGCACGCCAAGAACGGTTTAAGTACCTGACCATGTGGTTCAGAAAATGGTGCTCTTGAACTTCCGGACTGCCAGCAGACCACAGAAAAATCGTTTCGAACTGTGACCCATAGTTTACGCGAAGATGCGCCATGTGCGCTGCTTGCAGACCTCCCTTGGGCGAGCTGTTCGTCTCCCTGGCTTGCAAGGGTCCTGGAGATGTTCGCCTTGGCAGGAAACATGGGCAGGTACGGCTTTGGGGAGCATCCGATTGAGCACCTTGGTTTCGGACTTGGCACTGGGATGTTAAGCCTGTAGGCTCCTGCATCATTTTCCTCATGCTTCTTGGGCTCCTTGCCTGTTGTTGTCGTTGGCTGAGGCGTTGGAAGCGTGTTCCATGCGCGGATGAGACCTGAAGAGCGGATGACGCTCCGTGCAGTCCGAGATGAGATGCGACTGAGAAAAAAGGGAATCGCGCGCTTCAACAAGCGGTGGCGATCGTGGGCCCAAAATCGAGTACGCCAGTTTCGCCTGCCTTTGCCGGTGACACTTACTTCGGACACGGCATTGATGGATGCAAACTACATCACTGCATGTGTGCAGAAGGCGGCAGCACTTCGGAAGCACGACGTAAAGCTCTGGTTCGGCTACTCCAAAAGAATTCTCGAACTTCGGGAAGAACTGCAACCAGATCAGCTGGGCTACATCATGTGGGGCTACGGCTGCCCGCTTCTTCGTGAGTCTGTTGTTTTCCTCTTGCCATCTGTGCCGAAGCGGTATTGACACTAACTTGAACCTCAAGAGCCATGCTCCACTGAGGTAAGAGCAGCTTCCTTGATGCGAGCTTCTACAGGGAGATTCTCCCGACGATCAAAGAGCAAGTTCCTAACTTCCAATCCCACGCGCTGATGTCATTGATGCCAGGCAGCATTGGTCATATCAAGTTTAGGGCAGTTTACGGTCACCGGTGGCCATGGAGCACTGATAGTCTTAACAGCACCGTACTGTCACTGAACCCCAATAGCATGGTACTCGTAATATCTGAACATAGACATTGGACAATTAAGCATCGAAGTCTCTCAACTACAATGCTGTCGCCTGTGCTCGTGGCAACCGCTTAGATTTAGGGCTTAGGGCTCAGGCTTAGGGAGTGAAGCCTACATCGAGACAAGCGGCGCGACCGAGCCACAGCTAGTTCTCCTGAACCTGTGAGAGTCTTAAAGTTTGGGGCCGAGTAACTGCTATACCGGTGGCAAGAAGAAGGACAACAGTTTTGGAGTTAAGAAGACTGAAAACACATCCCATCGAAGCTCAGAGCACTAATACAGTGCGACTCCTGCCAAGACTCGCTACTGTTGCGGTACTGTTGCATTAGCAGTTCTGATGCGCATCACTCATTGTCATCATCATCCTCATGCTCAGCATCTTCATCATCCTCATCGTCCTGATCATCCTCCTCCTCCTCCTCATCATGCTCCTCCTCCTCCTCATCATCACCATCATCATCATCAACATCACCTCATTATCGTCATCATCATCTTCGCAGCGGTGCACACCTGCATTGCGCCCTCCGCCCTTTCGCCCAAACTGGAACCTGGAGCATTGAAAGGCTTGGATACTGGTTATGCTTCAACGGCCAAGGCTGCAGTACCACTACCCCCTCCCTCCATTCTCCGGCAAATTCTCTGATTGTTTAGGGGTCCAGGAGTCTGCGATTGAATCGATTAGCAAGGTCTTCAGCCTCAAAGCTGTGCTATCCGAGGAGTAGTATGGTCTGGATTCGTTTGTGGAGTTCGAGTGTTCATTTGTAACTTGCAAAGCCACATAGAAGGAACGAAACCCAACTCTAACCCCTGTGGATGCCCGCGCAAGGATGTGGTGCTTGAAGCGGATCCGCTGGCACGACGGCCACTTGAACCGGGCGGCGGCGCAGCACGCCCTGGACACTTTCGGAGTACTGCCAGTGCCGCTAGTGGCTAGTGTTGGCCTGCTAAGTAGAGGGTTTCGGGCGCGCTAAAGATCTGAAACTAAAGGTACCGGAGCCGTCCGGAGCCCCCAACCGCCTGAGCGCTAAACCCTCACCTAAGCCCTAAAACGCAACTCTCACGCCGTGGTCGCATGAGAACTGTCCCATGCCACAGTGCACGAAATCTTGAATGCCCCAAGCCCCTTACACGTGAAGGTTCTCCGAGCTCTGTCAGTCCGTGGTTCTCCGACCACGAAACATACACAATCTCTGAGCAGCACAAGCGTCTGCAACCTGCACCATTCCTTCCTGCTTCTCCGAAGCCTTTCATCTCCCAGACCTGTCACGACTATTGAAACCCGTTCTCCACAAGACCAAGCCCGAAACTCCCGGCGCGAAAGCCCCTAAACACTCGAGACCTGAAGACCTCAACCTCAAATCCATCAAGGTTTAATGACATAATACATCTAACCTCAGATCCTAAGTCCCTGCTTGAAAAAAGGGTCCACAAAAAAAGACAATAAAGTCTACTCCCTACCTTCCAGAGGACAGTATCGAGGCCCTACGGCCGTCGGACTTTATCAAGGCGCGGGGCCTTCAGCAGGAAGGTCTGTGAGGTCTATTGGATTGTATTGGGCTTTGAAGATACTAGGGCTTCGGGCTGTGTCTCAGTGTACTGTACTTCGTTGGATGTTTGAGTGATTTAGAATGCCAGGGTTTTTCACAGAATGAGAGTGGAATGAGTGGAAACGACGGTCCTGAACCGTGAATCGCATAAACCTTGAATCCCTGTACCTGGCCTGAACTCAATCCCCCGGCCGGCGCTCAGCGATTGGCCTCACAATCGCGTCGAACTTAACACACACGCACACACACATCGCAGAGAAAAGGGCATCCACAATTGCAACATTGCAGCGGCACTGGATAGCACAGTGTGAGGAAGTCTACAGGAGTACTACAGGATTTGTCGGATGCTTGTTTTTGAAAGACGGCAGTCTGCGCAAGCCCGTCTTCAGTTGTGGGCCTGAGGGCAAGAGGGGTCGCGTCGGCCCAGATTAAGTTTAACGCTCCGCCCGCCCGCCGCGGCCTGCCTCGAGAGCAGCACTGTGACACAACCCGGTAATGCTCTGCTACGCTGTGTGAGGAGGAAGACGAAGATTAATAAGGGAAAGAGGAAAATAAGCTAGAGGGTACTGAGCCGCCGCCTGTGGCCTCGGCGGATTGTCATGTAGAAGTGCAGCAGCACCCAAGACGTTCGGGCTTTGATTGCGTGGGCTGTTTCGCCGCTCTGGTAGCTTCAAGCCTGAAGCCATACTCTACTCGATTTTAGCTCGTCGCAAAGGTCACCAATGCCCTAGCGCAGCTCGGACTGCGCGACACAGGCCTGCGCGAGGCCGTTGCGGCCTTCTTTTCATAGGGGGCCTGGATGGGCCTGGGCTTTGTCAGGCTGGTTTCACTAATTCGGCGGAGCTTCACCGCGAGTATCCCTTCGTAGCAGTGGTTACAGACGAGAAGACCCCCTGTGTTTGGAGCTCTTTCCTTGATTTCTTTTGCTTGGACCTTGTATCACACCCTCAAGGCCTCAAGGCGACCTTGAACCCTTGTAGAACCCTTCTACAGGTAGAAACCTTACAAAACCCATTCAGAACTGTGAGCTCGAGAGCTTGAGCCCGAGAGGCCTTGTCCCGCGTCGCTGTGCCGAAGCTCGAAGAGACCTTTGCGCAGCAGGCTTCATGCAGCAATCATATCCCCCCATATGCTCCACATTTTAGAGTCGAATGTACCATACTCTGATTTCAGGCCCATATAGTCATATAGTATCTCAGCTCAGGAGCCTCCTGAAACGATCGCTGTCTCAAGCGGTTGTTCAAAAGATATCCAGAGCCCTAGTTGTGCCCATCACCATGAAGCCATCGCAGCCGACTGTCCATGGACGCAGCAAGTAGCACTTGCTCTGAGACGTAAACATGAAAAATATCTGCCACAATTCCACAAAGCGTAGACCCCAAGCCAAGGCAGCCCTAAGCCCGATGCTGCACCACCAAAGCCTGCCAGTTCCGGGACGCTGTGAACCCCGTCACCATCGGAAGGCTGTGGAACGATGAGGCCATGCGGTGCAAGAGGTTTTTTGTTTAGAGGATCTCGTCTTGTTTTCATCTAAAGATTTGGTCCTTGGACTTGCGAGGGAGCGTGGCCGCAACTAGGTTTAGCTTGTACCTTCCTTCGGTTCCCAAGCCGGAGAGAAAGCATTGGACAGACAGAACGGAAACAGGAAGGAAGGGAGCTAGTGAGGGAGTGACGCAGGGAGGAAGGAAGGAAGAGAATGACCGGCTCTTGCCAAAGATGACAAAAGCAGCATCCGCTCAAGCCAGGGAACAGCAACGCCTCGGCCATTTTTAGACATGCCTCCGGTTTCACGCAATGCAGTGATGTGGCGGCGCCAGCAGTATGAATCGCTAGAGCCCAGGGAGAATCCTGCAGACGAGGTGCCCAAGTCATTCCGTCGCAGTTGCAAGCAGAAGTGGAAGTAGAGAACCTTACAAAACTGCAGAGTATAGAGTTCAGTAAGCCGAAAGACCAGAAGCCCTTCTAAACCCTACGTCAGCATCCCTAAACTTCCTAAACCTCTAAGACCCGAAAGCCAATGAGCCCCCTTGGCCTAGGGCCCTATGTAAGGCGAAGCCCGAAACCTTCGGAGCCCCAAATTCCAGGAATGCCAAACTAACACCCCAGAAAACTCTGAAGAGTGCAGCATGTGGTAAGGTCACGGCGTATCTTCTGGAGCCCTGGGCCTCAGTTGCTCATAGTTGCTCATTGTTTAGGGATGAAGGCTCTACTTGTTGTTAGGACCAGGTTTGGGTGGGGGTGCTGCAATGTCGAGCATTGGAATGCCCACAAAGTCCGCACCTCTCAGGGACCCCCAGAGGTGGGCTTCGAGATGTGTCAAGGGTCGGGGCGAAGGCGCTTCCGGAAGATCTTCATCACAGCCCGGCCCATGCACCTCTTGAAAGCGTGCCCCTTCCTGTGGTTTGGGCTCTTGGCTAGAATCCGTGAGGCCTCACGCCCCGTGGGCCACGCACGACCGCATCCGACAGCCTACTTCAACACGTGGGTGTGATGCGTGGGTCTGAATTAGTTGGGTAGTTGGGCCAGCTGGCAGTCTTTTGCAGCAAAGCAGGCTGGCGGCTAACATGAGGTGAATTTGGAGGTCTGAAAAGCTTCGTAAGATTATGGGCTTCTCGTTCCAGGTTATATACGGTAACGTCCCCCACCGCTCCCCAAAAACTACTCAGACTACTCTCATTCCTGAGGCAACTAAATTTCATTCTGCAGCCTTTTGTCTGCGCCACCTTGAGACCGCCATCGGAAGGTACGAATCGGCCGTGGTGTGCCGCATTCAGAGACCCCAGGTTCACCTGGGTGGGGGGTGGGGGTGGGGATCTAGCCTAGCGGAGTCTAGCGGCTAGGGTTTGTGATGTAGGGCTTTCGGAATTGTTCTGTTCTGGGCTTTTGGCCTTGGTGTGTTTAGGGCTTCATGGCTTACTTAGAGTGTCGTCAACATCAACGCATGAGCGCGAGAGTGGTGCGGTCAGAATGAGACCATGGTTTTGGGGAGGCCAAAGTTGTAGGCCAAAGGTACAAAAAGCCGGGCAGGTTTGGCGGATGCTGTCAAAGGACTCCAAGTCCTTCTACGTGCGTCTTTCGCAGAGGCGGCACGGATGTAGCGTTGGTCGGGATGGGATTTGAGGGTCGGGAAGGTACGCTGACGGTATAGGGGGCATGCGAAATCCCATCTTAAGTTTCGCTTCCCGTTCTTTGAATGGGGTTTAGGGTTCAGTTAGCAGATGTTATACAGTTATACCACTCATACAGGACGAGCATGACACAGCATGACCATCAGAGTCCTTCTAAAGATCCTCACTCTGATGGCTGTTTTTCACTTTGTTCAGGGCCAAGTAACTCGAGGCTCCCGGGGCCGAAGGTGGTCCTGGTTTTGCCGAAGCTCATGAACCAAAACTGTTGACCGAATCGACACACCGCATTTGGGGCTGGCTGCCTCGCCTCGCATGTAGATTATCCCACCTGGGCTGTGAACTGGCATCCCTCAGTGCTTAATGGCCATGGTGGATTCACAGATGCAACGCCCCCGAAAATGTTCTGTTGTGGCGTTCATAGGCCCAGCCATGCAGGGCGGATTGCAAGAGGGGAGGCCAATCACGAGAACCTGTTTTAGATCACTTCTCTGGCCTTACCTACCATCTGAATCCATGCCTTTCGCAAAGCTGAAGCCGCCCGACCTGAGCATTCAGAAACCAGGAATTCACGAGTTGCATGGGCAGCATTGCGCCAATCTCCACCTTTGCGTGTGCCACTGTGGGGCCTGCACGAGTAAAGTTCACACAGTTTAACTCACTCGGAATCCTCCCCCTTGCAGGAACATCACGGGACGGGAGCGGAGTGCCTAAGCGTGAGGTTAGTACCTGGTAACTGGTACCCCATTGGTAACCAAAACACGGGACCCTGCAAGTTTAAGTTCTCTCATGAAGATTCTGCCAACATCAGCGTGGACCTGCTGGGAGCCCTGAGTTTTGGCCCAAGTGGCCCTCAAACGATGGGGGCCCTCCTAAAACGGGAGCAACTCTCTTGGCTCTGTGGGAAAAGGAAGAGCAGAGCTTTCGGGTGTTCGCTGCCTTGACAGCTCCACCTCCAACAACGCCTGAATCGCAGAAACCTGCCTCGGACGCTCGCAAGCATTCTGCACCCTAAAGGCCTTAACTTCTCAACGAGCGCCGAAACCGAAGCAGAATCCCAAAGCCGAAGCCCGAAACCAATCCACTTGAAGGCATATCGCTGACAAGGGCAAAGAGTCAGGGCCTTGCAGATGCCACTCACGGGTTGCTAGACGTAAGCAAACTCAACTACAAAAATTCCCTGTCTAACACAAGAGGCCGACATCGGAGACCTTAAGGCGCAACCCGCAAATCTCAAGCTTTGTCTGCACACCTCATTTCGACACGAACAAGTTCTCGTAAGAGCCCCCCCTGCAGAACCATACAAAGTCCTGTAAAACGGAAGCCGCAAGTCCTTCCAAACTAAATCCCGACCTTTGGATTTTGTTGGACCAATATCATGCCAAGACCGAGGGAGAAGTGACGTACCAGTAGTTTCGGTTCTTGGTGTGGTCTGCCACCCCAAGAGTGCTCCAATAACCTAGACCGATCACTGCGGCGATGAGCTCCCTTGCGTGAACCCAACAAAATTCTAAGCGCCGGCAGCCTGCGAGAAGCGCCCTCAGATCCCCTAAACCCTAAACCTCTGAGCTGGCCTCGGCTCCAGAAAGGCTCCCACTCCTCCTCCGTTGAAACCAGGGATATCTCTTCTGCTCCGTGGTGCATGTCTCCACGTGACATCTTAAGAAGACAAGGACTGAACTGGATCTGAGACGCATCGGCGTGTATTGTTAACACAAGTTATGTAATTCCAAGAGGACAAGTGCTAAGATGAAGAGTCCAGCTGGCTTCAAAAAGCCAGCAGCAGTGATTACTGTGTCATAGAAACGATGTGGACTGCTTCAGCTGGTGGCTCCGACAATACTTCCTATATTTTGTATATCTTCTCTGCATGTTGAGCCTGGAGCTGCAAATCAAGAACGTCTTGCACAACAGCCTGGTGCGCTTATGCTGTGAGAGCTGGACGTCTAGCATCCAAACTGGGTGACAAGCTGCAGGCTTTTTATCATCTTGCCTTTCTGTGCAGTTTTGTCTGTGGGAGAAGGAGATCTCGAGGTCTGCGAAAGACTTTTTCGTAGAACTGCAAGCCGCCACAAGCCGTCACAACCCGGAAAGGCCCGAAAGCCTGGAGCATCGGGCCGAGGCCGTCTCAGCTGCACTGGGACGTCTCGCGGCACTTAGCGGACCTTGGAGAGGCAACTGAAGTCTTCGGTCTCAGGGTTAAGATGATAGGTTTTTTCGGGTACTCGGGGCGCTATTGAAACAGCTGTCAAATTCCAGGTTTTGTGGTATCTTCGAAACGCGGATCTGGCATCCTTAGTCTCAATGGGTCTCCGACCGAGGACAGCCGACAGCTGAGTTAGAATGTTAAGGGACAGGGCTTGTGTTTTTTCAGTTTGAGTGATGGGTTTTTAGGGGTCTCAGCAGTTTGATACACTCCTCAGCTACCTTGTTTGGTGTGAGGATCTGCTTTCCCCTCCTTCGAGCTGTGCGAGCTGCGCCATCGGTGTCGGGGGTCTACTTGTAGCCTGTACGCCCGTGCGGTCACAAGTGCAGAAAACCGTCCATGCAGGTTACTGCAGTTCCAAACCAAAGCCCTAAACATATACGAGATACAGTGGTATGCGGTAACGCAGTATACATGCATTCATACATGCATACATACATACATACATACACACATACATACATACATGCATACATATGTGTATATATATATATAAATGCATACATACATACATACATACAAACATACATACACAGATAAGAATGGAGAGCGAGAATCCCGTGCCCGCCTATCTTCATATTCATATATATATATATATCGCGCGATAGCAGGGGTGCTTTTTAGGGCAAACTGGCTGTTTTCCCTAGGCAATACGACGTATTCGGCTTTAGCCGTAGTTGTTTCGCGAGACGGCCTTGCGCAACCGCTTAAGTTTTCGGGCCATCAGTTCTTCATCGTTTCATCTTTGGAGCTAGATTTTTGGTGGTTCTGCCGAGGCGAAAACAAGGTTTTGCATTTGATGGCACGAGTGTCCGCCAGCATCTCTTTACGGTTCTCCGGATCCAATGGCTTTTTTGGATTTCGGTCGAGGCTTGGGTTTGTGGGGTTTCGGTGTTGCCGTGCCTGTTTTGTCTCTACGGGGCGGGGCGGAGACTGTACTTGCCGCGGACTTTGTGCTTTTACTTCAGTTTTCCGTTTCAGGTCAAGGCATCGGACCCAAGCGAGCAACATATTTTGTGTTGGAAAAGCGATTTTTCTCAAGCGGCGAGCACACTTTGGATTTTTTGTACATGCTTTTTGTTGGGGGAGGGCATGTTGAGAGTGCAGACCCCACAACGTCCTCCAGGCTCATCGCAACTCCTTCCGTTGGGGACCTCTTTACATCGACATCGGCCTGGAGCAGATTGAGGCCGCTACAAACCCCCAACCCCTAGCTACAAGCGGAAGCGGGTAGATTTTCGATCCTGACCCGAACGGAGGCCCTCGCTTATATGGGTCGCACAATTAAAAATAACATCACCCTTTTTAGTGGCGTAGTGACTTGTTGCAGATTTTCGCAGGTGGATGAAAGGAGGCGCTGTGTGATGGTCGACGGTCCGTCCTCGTTCTTTTATTGCCGAGCCCTTGGAAATTGTTGGGAAATGGTTCAACGGCGTCAGAGGTTTCAGAATCTCGATTGCTTGATTTGCAGGAGCATGCTGCTGCCACGTTCGACACTATCCGAGGACATATCACAGCCCTTGCTGATGCTACTGCTGCTGCTGCTGCTGCTGCTGTTACTACGACGACGACGACGACGACAACGACTACTAGTACTACTACACGATGGTGGCAGCATTAAAATCATGACGATGTACCAAAGCAGTTTCACATCGAGCCGGCAAGCATTCAACGGAGCCGAATTTCGCAGCTACAGTCTTTGCTTGCGGCCGAGGCAGCGATCAGTACTTGCCGGCAAAGCACCTGCAACACGAGACGCCTTGCTCCCAGTAGAACGGACCGGGCAGAGTTGTCGTGTGAAGCATCTCCAGATGTGCATGTAGAGCCAGGATACCTCAAGGCTCCTCAAGGTTCAGACGCACCGCACCATGAACATGCAAGGTTCAGTGTCGAACAGTCATGAGATCTGCTAGCGCTAAGCCATAAAACCAAAGACTTGTTCCATGGCTGCCGGTCCAGGGGGTTCCAAGTATTACAGTGAGATGATGGTAAAGGTTCTGTGACTCTTGCTTCAGGGCATGTCCAAGTCCCGGCTTTGCTATACCAACCTATCGGTTCTTGCAACGCATATATGTGTGCATATAACATGTTTTTGTGTGTATGTGCGTGAACGAGGCTGACCTCTCTGGGCTGGGACGTACGGCGGGTGCGATGGGACGATTGGCTGGAGTTGGGCAACGACGACAGCAGGCCTCACCGCGAAACACCTTCACCGTGTCATGATCAAAGTATGCTTAGACCCTGGAGGTTCAGGTGCGGGGGCTGTCAGGCATGTTGAGTGCTTCTTAGTTGCTTATTCGGCCGAAGAGCACGGCAGCGGGCACCACAACTGTAAGAAGAGAGGGGTTCAGGGTCGTGAGTAAGGATGGGATGATTGCTTGTGTAGGTAGTGGCTGCCGGTCGACATAGATTTCGAGCTTCTTGAGCTAGGGTTTTTTAGTGCCAGTGGTTCTTGGCCACTGCCTTTCTGATGCTGGTTCGCAAACCTCTCAACGATGCTATTGCCCCAGCCCCAATGCCCGAGATCCTACGCGATGCCTTAGGGCCTTGCGCAGGAAACGACAGTATCTTCAGACGCTCATCGCGGACGCGCGGCCTGTGGCAGAGGAGCGGAAGACCTTCTGCTGCAGCCCATTCAGAGATTTTGTTCTTTTGCTTGCAGTCTGGACTCCGGTTTTCCGGCAAATTATGTTTCTACAAGACTTGTGAACAATGGTCGCTGAGGCTCCTGTGCTTCTCCGCGGCTTCAATACCGATGGGTTTTTCCGGAAGACTCCCTAAACTCTAATGGTGTTTCTTCAGATGTTTTTTTTGGAGCCCTTAGCGCAGGTCAGTGTCGTCTACTCTAACCGGCTTCCACCTTCTTTTTCGGACGGCACCCTACACTTGACATTCCAGATTAGGGTTTCTAGCCGGCAAAGAAAGCAGACCAAACCAGGTTAAGTCGTGTAATGGCACGAATGCAGCAATTGTGTTGCTGCGTTTTTTCACTTTGCAGGTATGTTTTTTCTTTAGAGTTTTCTGCTTAGCAGATGAGGGCATGCTGCAGGGACGCTTCGCACACGACCTAGCGAGACCGCATGAAAGTGTTACATTGGATCCAACACGGCAGGATTTCAGAGTTGAGGCGTGCAATCAGTCGAAAGAGCCCCGTGTTGTCCCGCCACACTGACGAGTACCAAGGCCTCCCGTCACAGCAATCTTAAAGCCTTCCGTGACGGATGGCACTGCAGCAAGAGCCGCGGACAGTGCGACAAGAATCCCTATCCTAAACTTGTGCAAGCCTCGAGTGCTATCATAAGTCTTTATCTCGGCTCTTGTAGATTCGGTGCTCGTAAACCAAGTTTGGTTCGACAACGAGAGCAGAAGTTCTCTTTCAAAGGTTCTCTGGCGAAACGGCGAAAACTGGCTTGAGCCTCAAGGGCGCAGCGATGGGAACTTGGCCCCCTCGCCACGTAAATGCATGAATATGCGGCTTCACGGGACAAGTCGCAACAGTGCTGAGGCAGAGACCAGAGAAGCACCTGCCCCTCAACTCCTTGAAGATTACCCCTACCGCTCACTGCCGTTTCTGTCTTCCCGGTTCAACATCTTCGAAACCCGACTACCCACACTCCCCAGAGCCTGGAGACCCTTCGAGGCCCTGAACCTTCAACCTTGCAGCTTCGACGCTTCCCCGGAGGAGCTGCGAGACAGGGCGCAGCTGCCTCTGGCAGAGGTGCAGGAGAAGTTGAGGCGCCCGGCGCACGGTACACGAAGCTCGTTTAGGGGCTTTGCACGCTCAGGCTTCAGATGGTTGACATCTTTCGTGACAGCCCTGCTACCTCAAACTGAAGCTTTCTTGCTGAGTGTCACCTCTACAAGACTGGCCTCAGATTGTAGGTTTCAGGCTTCCCTATTCGACGTCACCACAGGTTTGGGACAGTCCCAAGCCAGGCGGCGTTTGGAAGGCATTTGTCTTTGGCCATCTTGCTAAAAGCTGCAGGGTTTGGGCTTTGCACCGCAGAAGTCGTCCATGAACTCAACGACGCCGCTGAAAGCTCAAGCTGATGCTGCCATGCCGGACTCCTGATCTCCTCAGCCTGGAAAGAGGGGGAACTCTCATGAAACAAGGAGGGAATGCCGGTGGTGAAGACTGGTGAGTCAAGATCATGGGGCCACCTTCTGCAAACTGCATGAAGGCAAAGTTGTCGAAGTAGCGGGCTCGTGCCGTAACTCGAGGTGCTCGGGTGCCTAACTGGTCCCTGCTGGCGATCAGGTTGTTTTGGAGTAGTCGTCGTGCTTATGGTCCGTTTGTTTGATGCCCGCATACGACCTGTGAGATGCACTCGTTCATCTGGCTGTTCAGCACCAAGAGCGCCGACTATCTGTGACTATCTGCTTGATCTTGGCGGCAACATCACGGCTTCTTTGCATGTATATTCAACATCGCATCTCAGATCGCAGAAAAAGTGGTGAAGACCACATTCCCTCAGGAACATGAGCAACGGGAATTGTTTCAGGCTTATTTCGTTCCCCTTACCGATGCCAATGGGGTGAGATACTGGCACAGCGACCGCAGCGAGCAGCTCTTGTACTTCCGATCACCAGAGCAGATCTGGGTCCTGAGCAGTGCTGCGCAGCCGAAGGTGCCAATTGCCGGCTCAACGGACTTCAGAGAGTGGCAACTGGGGTCTGAGACTGTGACCGCTCGCTGGCAGGTGCTGCGAACCAGACCTCAAGAGGTGAAAAACAGATTCGCTTCAGCCTCAGGAGCCTTGGTTTTCACCTTCACCTTCCGAAAACAGCTGAAACCTTTGTCGGGGAGCTATATCAATACTTCGGCCAGCACAAAGACAGCCCTTGCTTCAAGCGCTGGAAGCTGCCGCAGCTCTTCCTGTTGGAGTCCATCGCTGGACTATGGGTTATAAGAGGCCCGTCCTGCAAGGACCTGTGCACCAGCAGCAATCTGATAGAAAAGAGAATATCCCGAAGCTGATAAGAAGCGCAGGGTTACAATTGCGTATAACATGGAGCGGGGGCGGCAGTATGTGAAGGATGAGCACGCTCGCGGTCTGCTGACAAGAGAGGGCGAGGACTGCGACATGAAAGTAAAATACGCAGTGTTTGGACGGGCGTGTTACAAGCCGTCTGATAACGTCGCCGCCGTGCTATTGAGTCCCAAGAGCACCGACTATGTGCTTGATCTGGGCGCCCACATCGGCACGATTTTGGCATAATTTCTCGAACAGGGCACCTCCGGCGCCGACTCGTACGAGCCTACTGGCACATATGACACGTTGCAGAAGAACCTGGGCCAGGATGCCCGAATGACATTGCACCAGAAAGCCGGACTGCACGAGACGTCGTTGTGGCGGTGTGGCGGTTAAAAACTTCGCGGCGGATTCTGCTCACAGGGAGCCACATAGCGATTCAGAAGCCATCCGGTCCGGCGGTGAGGCATTTTAAACAGATCGGCAGCTACCAGACTGTGGTGATGGCCACAGAATTCAGTTCGCCGCCGCTGGCCAATGGGGTCGCGATTTATCAGGAAGCTCACGTTGGAGGAGCGGGTGGAGGTGAGGGCAGCGCCCAGGATCGATGGCAGCGTTTCCGCGATGTTGGGGGAGTCTCGGACTTGCAGGAGCATCTTGAGCTGTTGGATTTTGGCGTCTCTGAGGACTGGCAGCTTCTGTACGCGGTCCAGCGCGATGGCTCGATCCTTTTCTTCTGGTAGTTCACGGCAGCTCGGAGCCAAGCGTCACCAGTCAACATCTGAGGCGTGTGGGTAGGATGCCAGGTTCTCTGGCTGCGAGAGGATGCGTCGAACTAATGGTGAAAAAGAAAGATAAACTGAAACAAACCTTCCGGTGTTCTAAGTTCCCTGAAGCGACTTTTTCGATCATTGCTGGGCCAGAGTCTTCACTCATCTTCGTCCTCGTCTGACGGACTGACAGAGTGATAGAGGCTGATGTGCCGTAACAGTTTGTTTCAGGAGAGCAGAGCCATAGGACGCCCTGCCGCTTCTTGAAGGTCGTACCTAGCAGCGACGTAGCAGCTACAAGATCTCGGAATCCGCTCTTGACGTGCAACTTCCAGCCTCAGCTCATTACCGATAGCAAACGTGGTGGATCCCTCGTTCTTGCAACAGTACATCATGTCACAATACCAAAATCAATAAGACTAGTGGCAATGCCGCAAGTACCGTCATCTTCCTCAGCATCATCACTTCATCATAACTGGCATCCAAGCTTTGGAAGCCCCAAACCTCACGTTCCTCGTCCGTCAGGGTTGCTGCGCCCTACAGGCCTAGCCAATATAATTGTTTGAGACATACAGTACGCATTGTTATCTGCCGCCAATACAGCACAGTCCGCTTTGAGAGGCAGTTCCGAAGACTCCAGGCAGCCAAGGAAGCTGCAGAGGCTGCAAAGAGCTCAGCTGCAAGTTTTGGATGGTTGAAGTTGGCGGCGTCTGCACTCTTCTAAGTTTCTGGTTGGTTTCTGTTTTGGGGTTTCGGAGTTTAGGGTAGGCTCGAAGCTTCAGGTGGAGTGAGGCTGTAAGGCATGGTGGCTTCAGGATTCGGCATCCTGCAAGTTTGGACGCAAACTCCTAGCAAATTTCTAGGGTTTTCGCACTTGGCGCAAGAGTAGGCTGAGGGTTTTGTGTTCAGCCTGGTTGTTCGAATTTTACTTCTGCTGTTCATTCAATGTATGCGTGTGTGTATCCAAGTGTAGTCCAATGGCAAATCGATGAGGATTTCTCTTGCATTCACTTACCGTCGTTTTCTGACTTGGTTCAGTGCCACTACTGCCAGCTACTTCTGATGTCCAGATGTCTCTCTACTCTTGCGACTCTTCTCAAAGCTGTCTTCTTAACAAGGACCTAGCGCTGAAAGCTGCTGCGACGGGGGCTCCTATTGCGCTTCGTTCATCCGTTTAGCCGTGCAACCACTTCTTCCCACGAGAATCCCTGAATCGTAGCACCAACACTAACAATCTGTATGCTCGTGACATTGAGGATGCATGAAGTTCACAATGCCAGTGTTGTCGCTGACGTGACCCTTACTGCTCCCATTGACCCTAAACCCTAAGCCCTAAATCTAGCGTTTTGGCGTTCGGCGCTATCATTCCCTTGTCATCTTGTTCTAGGACATCTCAGGCAAAGCAGCCATTGCACCTGTACCGCAGCCGACCTCCTGACCGCATTTCCCAACACACTAACCCCTGAAGAGCCTGAAGGATCTGATCTTCTCCAGAGCCGCCAGAACCCCCTCAAGGAGCCCCCGGCCTCCTCCCCTGATCCCCTGAGGCCGAGAGGTCCAAAATCGACTTCGAGATTTGATCTGCGTAACCGAAAAGGATGCTGAAGTTGAAGGTTTAGGGAGTTTTGGGTTTGAGTTCAGGATTCCCGGGTTTTGGGGCGATTGCTTGTGGATTTGACATTGAGTTCAGGCGGTGGTGGACTCATGAGGCGGATCGGCATCTCATCGACGGTGTGTGTGCTTGAAAAGCGCCTATAACCCATCTCCTCCGCATCCAAGCGTATCCTCACAGTCTGTGGAGGTTCAAGAGGTGACCCAACCGTTGTTGCTGGCACCTGTGCGCGAGCTGCTTGCGAGAGTTGTTGACCTCCCGTTTCAGTTCGCGTAAGCACGGGCCACACTTTTGTTGACAAGTTGTGGATGCCTTGTCTGTGTTCTCAGGCTATCATAGGCGGTTCGACTGGAACTTGCCCCCGTGGTAGTAATGGACTCGAGCTTTCCGCTGACAATTGCCAGATGACAAGGGATGCCAGACTTCAAAGTTCGGGTCGAAGACATGTCGCGGGAGAGCACACCCGGCCTCGCGAAGGCGCTAAGGCGCTCCCACGCTCCCCACCCTCGGGAAGCCTCTCCCCCCCTCCCCCGCTCCTCGCCACCCAGGGATCTCCGTAGCTGACTGGCAGTCCATTGCAGTACGATGAGTCAGAGCAATGATTGTGCAGTTGTCATCAGATGATCTGTCAGCAGCGCTATCAATAGTGACATGGTGACAACACGGAGTTTCAGAGTAGCGATAGGCATCAAGCGGTGCTCGTAAGAATACTAGTACTTACACTTGCAGTGCGATGATAATTGTATCAATCATAGGAAAGAAGAACAGCAAAACCAAAGCAAGTAGCAACAATAGTAATCCCAGAAGAAGAAATAAGTGAAACACTATTGACCAGGGCAGTGTTAGCACTATTGATAAGTAACAAATGTGGCAACAGCAACAGCACTTCATCAAGCATCTTGATAACCGCAAGAAGAAATCAAATCATAGTTCTTGGTAGGCTCGTCACAAGGTCTGTGCACATTCAAGTGTTGAGTGTCATTGTTCTGGGGACTTCAGCGGTTGGGTTGTTCTGATGTTGGGCTTACGAACAAGTGGTTTCTGAAGTTCTGCAGATGTCTCTTCGCGATTTTCTTTAGATCTGCGTGCGCCTTCGAAATATTATTTACAATTTTATTCGATTCTATTTGATGCTTTACTTGCTTGCAGAAGTCGTCCATGAACTCAACGACGCCGCTGAAAGCTCAAGCTGATGCTGCCATGCCGGACTCCTGATCTCCTCAGCCTGGAAAGAGGGGGAACTCTCATGAAACAAGGAGGGAATGCCGGTGGTGAAGACTAGTGAGTCAAGATCATGGGGCCACCTTCTGCAAACTGCATGAAGGCAAAGTTGTCGAAGTAGCGGGCTCGTGCCGGAACTCGAGGTGCTCGGGTGCCTAACTGGTCCCTGCTGGCGATCAAGTTGTTTTGGAGTAGTCGTCGTGCTTATGGTCCGTTTGTTTGATGCCCGCACGGCCTTCACGACCTGTGAGATGCACTCGTTCATCTGGCTGTTCAGCACCAAGAGCGCCGACTATTTGTGACTATCTGCTTGATCTTGGCGGCAACATCACGGCTTCTTTGCATGTATATTCAACATCGCATCTCAGATCTCAGAAAAAGTGGTGAAGACCACATTCCCGCAGGAACATGAGCAACGGGAATTGGTTCAGGCTTATTTCGATCCCCTTACCGATGCCAATGGGGTGAGATACTGGCACAGCGACCGCAGCGAGCAGCTCTTGTACTTCCGATCACCAGAGCAGATCTGGGTCCTGAGCAGTGCTGCGCAGCCGAAGGTGCCAATTGCCGGCTCAACGGACTTCAGAGAGTGGCAACTGGGGTCTGAGACTGTGACCGCTCCCTGGCACGTGCTGCGAACCAGACCTCAAGAGGTGAAAAACAGATTCGCTTCAGCATCAGGAGCCTTGGTTTTCACCTTCACCTTCCGAAAACAGCTGAAACCTTTGTCGGGGAGCTATATCAATACTTCGGCCAGCACAAAGACAGCCCTTGCTTCAAGCGTTGGAAGCTGCCGCAGCTCTTCCTGTTGAAGTCCATCGCTGGACTATGGGTTATAAGAGGCCCGTCCTGCAAGGACCTGTGCACCAGCAGCAATCTGATAGACAAGAGAATTGAGAGGGCCAGCTGCACAGTGGCAGAGGAATGGCCGGAGCCGCCGGAGCCTGCATCCTCTTCTACACCGGCGCAGCCCGAAGCTGATAAGAAGCGCAGGGTTACAATTGGGTATAACATGGAGCGGGTGCGGCAGTATGTGAAGGATGAGCATGCTCGCGGTCTGCTAACAAGAGAGGGCGAGGACTGCGACATGAAAGTAAAATACGCAGTGTTTGGACGGGCGTGTTACAAGCCGTCTGATAACGTCGCCGCCGTGCTATTGAGTCCCAAGAGCACCGACTATGTGCTTGATCTGGGCGCCCACATCGGCACGATTTTGGCATAATTTCTCGAACAGGGCATCTCCGGCGCCGACTCGTATGAGCCGACTGGCACATATGACATGTTGCAGAAGAACCTGGGCCAGGATGCCCGAACGGCATTGCACCAGAAAGATGCACTGCACGAGACATCGTCCTGGCGGTGTCAACTTCGCGGCGGATTCTGCTCACGGGGACCCACATAGCGATTCAGAAGCCATCAGGGCCGGCGGTGAGACTTACTGCTTGAAACAGATCGGCAGCTACCAGACTGTGGTGATGGCCACA